GTCTTCCTCTTTGTTGCTGACCCTCTGCTTTAGCAAGCATGACATTGTCCTCCAGGGACTGATCTCTCCTGATAACATGTCCAAAGTATGTGAGATAAGTGTCTCCATGCTTATTTCTAAGCAGCGTTCTGGCTTTCCTTCTTCCAGGACAGATTTATTAATTTTTCTGGCACTCAATGGTATATTCAATATTATTCATTTTCTCCCAAACTCAAACTCATCGATTAAGTTACAGGTCAATGCACCTCAAGTTCAACCACCACCCTTCTGTCAGTGGAAGCTTGTGTATTGCTGTGATAATGAACAAGTTTCAATAGAGCTTCCATACTAAGGAAAAGTAGGAAGACAGACCTGGCTACCTGCTGAAAAATCAGCAGTGAGAACCCTATAGATCGCGATAGTCCAATCCCAGTGTTTTTCATGTCACCATGAGTTGGGGACCAATTCCAGGGCAACTAACAGCAACTACAACATAGTTAATTTTAAACATGAGAATTCTCAGCATGTGAACATATAGTGATCTCATTTAGTTGCCTTCTTGCTAAAGTAAACTTTATCCTGTGGGTTTTATTTCTCTAGTGTTGATTTCTTCTTTATCCAGTCTAATTTTTTCTTTTTTTTTTTTTTTTTTATTCATTGCTTTAATCATCTTGCTTTTACTTGTTTTTCTCCTGAGTGGAAAACATACCTCTGGGCCATATGGTGTTGTGGCTCAGAGCAGCAAAGAAAAAATAAATAACCCAGTAATTATAAAGAAGAAACTTTATTTCCTAGAGATGAACTCTTGCTAAAGCAGATACAGGAAGAAGCTGCTCCTGTGATTCTGCCAGGGACAGGGGAGAACTACAGATACCTCTCAAATTATGCTTCCAGGATTTTAGTAATACTGTTTACCTTTAGTAAACAACAACAACAACAACAAAACCCACTACATTTCTGCAATTTCTTCATCACAGATGCTAAGGATATAGAGAGGAAGAGCAAATAGGACAAAACAACACAGATAAGAAATATTAAAGGCATTTAAGTTTTAATGTGATTTGCTTATTTTGCAAAAATATAATCTATAACTATTTGAGCAGTGGTAAAAATCTGATAGCATTTTTTACTATATATTAAGAATTAACATATAACTTGACTTAACTAGTATTATTACTTAACTAGCCAGCACATACCAATAACAACAACAACAGTATTAACTTTGCCACTGTAACTGGGGTCCTTGCCTTCTACTGACAAAGACTTCAACAGGAGAGGCAAAATACCCCCATGAACCAAAGTTTATCAAAGAGAAAGGAGTGGGGAGAGGATCATGAGGGAGAGAGGAAGACAGGCTTTCTTCTATGCTGGTCTTCAGTCTGTCACCTAAAAAGGATTTCCTAGAGTTTGTAAAGGGTTTTAGGCCAGAATAAGGCATTTTATTTATTTACAAAATAGTCAGGGTTCCTGGGGAAAAGGGTGTGATTATGAAAGACTCACCTTATGATCTTTCATTTAATATGGTGGAAATTTACTGGCTGATACTTAGCCATTTTTAACATCAGAAGGAATTAAACCAGTCCCATTTCAGTGCATTTGTATTTTGAAATATTTTGTCTATATCTTATTTGAAACTTCTGTAAGAAGCATGTGATGCCAGTATTTCAGTTACATAGAGTATGTGGGGATATTGGCAAATACATGATTTAAATAATTGAAATATTTCCCTATTCTATTCATTCTTTTCTTGATTAACAAGTTGTTGTTGTTGTTGTTGTTGTTAAGTGCCGTCGAGTCGTTTCCGACTCATAGCGACCCCATGCACAGCAGAACGAAACACTGCCCG